TTCTTTAATTCAGATATTATTATAGGTGATATATTTCTTTATTATATCCCACAGACCCTAGTTCAGTGCCAGGACAGGCAGCCTTTGACACAGGCCCAGTTCCTGGCCCTGCTTCTGTAACTTTCAGTAAGCTACCTAGTCTCTCTGAGCCTTAGTACTCCCATCTGTAAGACAGAGCTGAGAATGACAACCTCATGGGGTTGCCATAAGGATTAAGTGAGTCTACACCTACAAAGTGGTTGCATCCTTATGTGGTGATTGCTGGGGGAGGTGGAGGAGGGTATAGGAGGAATAAATGGTGGTGGAAGGAGGCTTGACTTGAAGTGGTAAACACACAACACAATGCACAGATGATGCATTGTGGGATTGTGAACCTGAAACCTGTGTAACTTTGTTAACGAATATCATCACAATACATTCAGTAAAAAGGAAAAAAATAAAAATATAAAAATAAAACATGAAAAAAGTGGTTGCATCTTATTGGCACTCAGTAGTTTAGTTCACCTTCCCCTTAATTATTCCACTGTACAGTTTGCTCTTTCCTATATGTAACATTTATTGAACAGCTCTACATGCCATGCAACTGACTTACTTTCTATCACTAGCTTTTTACAACAACACTGTGGAGTTGGAACCCTTGTCATCATCATTTGAAAAATGAAGAGACACAGATGATTTTAGAAGACAGTGGGAAGCTTATGTCAGGATCACAAGATCTCAGAGATAGAGAACACTTGACAGGTCATTTGGGACCACTGCTCCATTGTCCCAGTTTCCTGACAGGTGGTCACAGAGCATCAGTTTGAACAGGCCAGTTGCTCCTCGTTTTGGACATATCTTGGAGATGGCCTCCTCTGTTGTTCCCCCACTCCCCTGAATCACATGCTGTGTCCTCTGGCACAGACTCCAGAGTCTGAAACCCGCCACCCTTCCTTACCAGCTGTGGAAAGTTGGGCAGGTATTTTAGCTTTTCTGTGCCTTCATGTCCTCATTTGTAAATGGAGATGATAATAGAAAATGCATTGTAGGATTGTTGAGAAAATTAAATGATAGAACACATGTAAAGAGCTTAGAATAGTACCTGGCATATAGTAAGCACTCAGCAGATATTAGTTGGTATACAGCTAACATAAGTTTTATGGATTTGTCCAGTTACTTTAGCTCTTCCTCCTCAGACACATTTTCCCAGTCTCTGTCAGAGGACCTAGTGGGTCTCTTCCTAGGAATCTGCCTTGTAAGCCTTGTAATACCATGGTACCAAAACTGTGCCAACATCAGCATAACCAGCTTCCATCCAAATGTTCTTTTTTCCAAAGTCATCATTACAAACTGGGAGAAGAATTATATCCTTTCAGTCTCAGAGATGCACTTCACTTTCCTGCTAGCATTGATTCAAAGACGAACGACTGGATGTGAATAGCAGGTAGAGGGCCAGAGGGGTTGTGATGGAGCCTGTGTGGTAACTTGTACACATCCCAGGAAGGTGGGCTCTAAACCCCCTTCCCAGAATGTAGGGCTCAGGGTGCCTGATCTGTATGTGGATCCCAGAACCTGATTTTATCCAAAGTCAGAGTACATACATAGAACCTTGAGACAGTTTCACCAAGTAACCATCCAACAGAGTGGGGCAGTATAGGTAGAAGCCAGGTACAGGCCTATGGTGGAATCAGGACACTAGGACAGAGTGAGTGGGTTTGAATTGGAGAGTTGAAACGAGAGATTCCCTGAAATGTAGCTGTGTGGGGAGACATATAATAAGAGGACATGGAGCTCTGACTGGGGTGGCTTAGTTGGTTGGGCATCCTCCTGCAAAGGGAGGTACTGGTTCAATTCCTGGTCAGGGTACATGCCTGAGTTGTAGGTTCGATCCCCAGTTATGGTGCATATGAGAGGCAATCAATCAATGTTTCTCTTGTGTTGATGTTTCCCTCCCTCTCTTTCTCCATCCCTTCCCCTCTCTCTACAAATAAATAAGTAAAATATTTTAAAAAAAGGATAAGGAAGAAATTCTCCAGGTTTTATTTCTAGCACATATAGAAGAATGGAAGAGGTAGAGAAGGAAACGAGGTCAAAAGGCCATATTCAGGCAGTAATCATCGATACAATGCAGAATGCCAGAGACTGAGCCTTGCCTTCTGTGTTGGGCAACATGGCATGCAGTGTGTGCATTGATGCAGAAAGAAGGCAGTCTCCCCACCTTCCAAACCCCATCTCTTGTATGACATCTAGATTCATGGTGTATATGGTTGGGAGAAACCAGACACCTGTCACCTGTAGTCATACTTTGGAAAGTGCCCCTTTAATCTATGCCTTAAGTACTTTGGGTATGTGGCCAAATCTTTTATGAAGCTTAAAAAAACCCAGACTATTAAGAGTACACAGTGAATGCTACAACTCCTGACTTTGGCTGTTTCTCCCCTCTCTCCTGTCCCACACTGGGCCACACTCCACAGGAGGTTGCCTATCTCAGTACCATGGGAGCATATGAGCCTGAGGGAAAGGCTGTAATGTCAGCCTTCTCTGGCCCCAATTTCTTAAACTATTTACTGAGGAGAAAATCATGACCTTGTTAAAACTGCTGTTCTGCATTAATCTCTATAGTTTTCGAGCTGCTCATAAGTGGGCCAGCAGCAGGGTGGTAGTTGCTGGCACAGTAGTAAACTCCTTCATCTCTCTCTGATGCTTTAAGGATCTCAAGCACAGCCTGGTTGTTTGAATTATCACTGTAAGCGCGGAACTTGTTCAAGAAACCAGGGCCATACATGCCTCCTTCTCGGTGTATGTAAGTCATTATATTATCCTGGGTCTTCCTGTACCAGCTGATGTAGTAGTTATTGATCATTTCTCCTTCCATTGAATACCTGAGGGTCGCAGACTTCCCAAAGGACACGGTTACTACTTGGTCTTGAGACACCAACACCACAGCTGACATGGCTCCTGGGAGAAAAGATATGAGAGGGGCTCAGTGAGGACTGGGACTGAGACCTTTGAGTAAGGAGCCCTGTCCATGAGCTCCAGGCCCTGGAATTCTTGATGCCTTGCTGTCACTCAGTCTGACTTGCTTGAGGCTCCAGGATCTGCCTTACCTGCCCAGAACAGGGTGACATGGATGAGCGAGCAGGTCCTCTGCATGGCTCCACTCAGGACAACTCTGCCTCCCAGCTCGCCCTCTGCCCGGGCCCTCCTCTGAGTCAACACCTTCACTGTGACTCATTTGTGCCTGAGGAAACCAGCCTCCGTCCGCAGCTGTTCTCTTCCCTGAGAGGGCTTTTAGCCAATCACAGGAGTTTCGCAGAGCCTGCAGCCTGTTACTGGGATGACAACACCCCCTTTAAGATTGATACTGTGGTCCAGATAAATAAGGACAATTGAGAAAAGGTTAAGAGAGCTTATTTGATTGATAACAAGGTTTCTGCTTCCTGCCCTAGAAGTTAAGCTTGATATTATTGCTCCATTTTAATGTCAGATGTACTTGTTATATGCTCTCTGGTGATGTCACAGCTAATGTCAAGAAGAATTATTGATATTTACAGCCGTAATCAAAAGAGCCATCAAACGAGAAGATAGATGGTCTACAGGCGTTGTAATGATTTTTGCGTTTACTGCAACTCCCTCCAGGCAAAGTTGGATAAGGGTGATTCACCCAAGTGTAAATGAGCAAGCCAACGAAGTATTGTCTCCAAATTTGAGCCAGTTCTCTGATTTTTATTGAGCTCATCTGTCTTTTCTGAAGGCAGGTCACCTGTGTTGAATTACAGAGCCAAATACTGTGAAAATCTTGGAAATCAACACTACCTTCCAGCTTATGACAGCCTGACTTCACTTGCTTTCAAAACAGAGGCATGTTTGAACTTTTGTGACCTACACTTTTGAATTTAAAAAATTTATAAAATTTTGAAATAAACAGGTAAATTAATAATGGGAACTTGAGGGTATAGCAGAAGCTGGGAAGGGGGTCCCTTGGTATGCCAAGAAGCAGGAGCAAGGCAGCATCCAATGTCTGAGGATGGGTGCAGTACCTAAATTCCCATGCTGGTGGAGGAGAGACCCACCTCAACTTTCTTGTTTATCCCCATGTGACTGGGACCAGACTGGCCTGAAGAAATTCAGATGGAAGCAAACTCAACTTTGCTTGACCTCGTGGTAGTTGCTCTCCCTACCCTTGAGTGATCTCATTTACCCAACTGCCCATCTCACCGCCGTTCCCAGAGAACCAGGAGCAAGCACTTCAGGTGATCACATTCTCTGAAATTACAAGTTCCATCATCAGTGCCTGCTTGTTTGACGTAATGATGCCCATTTTCTATCTATAGTTCTTTGAAAGTTGTTGAGGGCAGCTTCTCCGGACTTACATATTTGATATTTTTAATTAATTAATTAATTTTAAGTCCTCACCTAAGGATATGTTTATTGATTTTAGAGAAAGGGTAAGCAACAGGGAGAGAGAAGAAGAGAGAGAGGGGAAGAGAGAGACATTGATGTGAGAGAGAAAGATTGATCGGTTGCTTCCCCTATGCGCCCTGACCAGAGATTGAACCTGCAACCTCGGTATATGCCCTGACCAGGAATCAAACTGACAACCTTTTGGTTTTGGGATGACACTCTGACCAACTGAGACACCCAGCCAGGGCCATACTTGATCTTTTTATATCAGGTTGCCTACCTCTTGGCACATCCTATAATCTAGTCATTTTACTAGACACCAGTCCCTGAAGATTCACGGATAAATGATAGATGTGGTCTCTCCACTTATGTTCTAGCGTGAGACCTCACCACCACTTAATGCATAATTTGCATAATGAATTTCTCCACTGCAGCTGTGATAAGCACTCCATAGAAGAAGCAGTGTTATCAGAGGATGTTACTGGGGCTAGGATCTGGTATGGGAAGGCTTCCCTAAAGAAGTGACTTTGCACGCTGAGATTCAAAAACAAAAGTTATCCAGCAATGCTAGATGGTGTCATTTTGTCTCATCAGGTCTACTCTATTTCCTACTCTAGGAGTCTGACCTTAATGGACAACATCCACCTGGTTCCCTCGATCTCCGGTATCCCATTTAGTTTGGCCAGTCGGAGGTACCATCAGGAAACTGGAGAAAACGAGGAGGGTGAGGTACGGTGTTCCTACCCCACAGTCCTTGCCAGGCTGCAGGTTGGCAGAGGTTGCAGATTGGCAGAGGCTGCTTTCCTCTGCTGGAGACTACAGCTTCTCTCCTATATCTGCAGCGTCCAGGAAAGGCTCCTCTATGCCGTGCTTCATGGTAGTAGCTTCTTTGTTGTCAGACCCAGGATGTTACACCTTTTTTTCTTTTGGTTTCCCACAACCCAGCTGCATTAGTTTCCTATGACTGCCTTAAAAATACCACAAACTGGGTGGCTTTAAACAATAGAAATGTAATGTCTCACAGTTCTGGAGGCTAGAAGTCCAAAATCAAGGTGCCAGCAGGGCCGCACTTTCTCTGAGACCTGCAGGGAATCCTTCCTTGCCCTTCCTGACTGCTGGTGGTGCGCTGCTCTCTTTAGTGTCTCGGGCGTGGCTTGTGGGTGTGTCACTTCAGTTGCTGGCTTCCTGGTCACACGGTGTTCTCTCTGTGTCTCTGTCTTCATGTGACCACTTCTTATAAAGAGGTCCATCATATTGTATTTGGGGCCCACTTTACTGCAGCCTGAGCTCATCTTAACTACTTGCATAAACTTCAATGGCCCTATTTCCAATTATGGCCAATTTCCAAAGCTACTGGAGGTGAAGACTTCAGCATATTTTTTTTAAGGGACATAATTTAATCCATAAGACCTGCCCATACCTTTGTAAATGCCCATTTCATTAGATTCTCTCCAATCATAACTTGAAGACCCCCTGTCTCCTGCTTTGACTCTACGTGATATACCAGGTATAATGGGGCTTGTGTAGGAAAAGATTATTCTATATAAAAAGTGAGGCTATGTTAAAAAAAAAAGCCCTGAGGCAGGAGGAAGTGCTGTGGGCTTAAAGCTCCCCTAGTATCAAAAGAACCATTAGCCGGGCTCAAAGAAGCCTGTCTTCCTAGATAATTACTGTTGAATTCTTCCAAATTATCCAGGAAGTCATTCTGAAAAATCCCAAGAATGTGCTTATGTTTATGACTGTGACTTTTATCTGCCATTGATTAGAGGCAGTTTTAAAAGTTGATTGCTAATAGGCAAAGCAACCTTCCTTTAGGCCTGAGTAGAAGTGAGTCAGCATTAATAATAAGTCAAAGCCGGAGGTAGAAGACAGTAGTGGGGAGGGAACCAGTTATGATCTGGAGGAAGCTTAGGGAAGAGCGTGGCTAGGTGTGCCATGCCTGGTCCGGGAAAGTCAGGACCTGCCACAGGCCCCTTGGTCTTCCTGGTCACGGGGTGGGAGCAAGACAGCACTTGAACACAAATGTAGCCTATCTCGGGGTGCCCGGGGTGGAAGGTAGAAAAGTGGGCCAGGGCCCCGCCCTTGGACTCTACCTTTCTCAGACCCGTGCTCTTTGTGTTGATTCTATGTCAGGGCCAGCAATTAGGCCGCAACTTTCCATGATCTGCGGGATGTCTGTTCTTTCACATAATTTTTCAGGAGAATTAATATTTCTTTTCACTCTGTGAGGAATAAATGAGGTGATACTTGCAAACACTTGACTCATTGCTTGGCTATTTATTAGTTTCTTCCTTCCTTGATATCTTTTTATAAAAATAAGGATACCTGCCTGAGGCAAAAGTGGTTTGGGGAGATTCATCCATTCATTCCTATAACCTCCATCAGCTTATGATTTCTTGACATCTTCCTAATCTTACATGTTATGAAAATACAGCCTCAAGGCAAGTTCCTGAGGGATCTTCCAGTGAGATTGCTATCCCCCAGCCCCTCATTTGCAGAAATTCTGAAGTTGCCTTTGTATATAGTGCTTTACCACATACAAATGCTGCCTTACACTTGTTATTGGGTGTGTCTTATCCCTGGTGTAATCCCCTGAATGCACAGTGTGGAACCCATACTGCTCCTCAGAAGTACTGGTTGAAGTGAAATGATTTTTTCTGCCCAAAGGATGTCTGACTAGAATGTGAGTTGCTGTCTATGATCTCAAAGGAGAACTAAGGGAGGCCAGTGAGGAGATCATTCCCAAAATCATGGTCACAGGAAGGACCTCAGACCTTTGGGTTGTGGCTTTAAAGACAGACTATATCATTGCAGGAACTTCTGTTCCCTTCAGCCTGACAAGAGAGGGGAGGCTTAAGAAAGACACTGCTGACCCTAACATGTGAACTGCCACCATGCTTCCTGCTTTTCTGTGAGTGTAAGATGTCTAGAGATGGCTGTGAGGCTGAGGTACTTAATATTTCATTTTCAGGGCCATAGTGCTGCTCAGGGGTCCCAGGCAAATCAACCAACAGATTACATGGCATTGGAAGATGTGTTTATTGGCCTCAGTGAGATCAGGAGGAAGAATGAATGATCTGAGGCATTAGGGACTTTAGCGAGCCCTTGAAGTCATGTTTCAGCCTTCACTTCCCACAACCTCAAGCAGAGAGAGCTGCCTTTTCTGTTCTTCAAGTGAGTTCCTTGAGCTCATCCATTTCTCAGCCCAAGACTGGGCTGGACAGGGTCCTGGAACTTGGGGGGTCTTCTCTTTTCATGCCTCCTCTAGTTTTCAAGAGGGAGCTATGCCTCTTGAAAGTACAGTGCCTCAGAGACCACTGTACTTAGGCTTGGAAAATCTAGATTTGCATCAGACACCATCCTTACTGCAAATCTCTTGACCTCTCCAGGCCTCGATTTTCTAAACAATAAAATGGGGATACTATTGCTTCATGTGGCCATGAAATAATGGATGTGAGTGCACCTTGTGATTGATTTACAGTTAGACTGGCACTGGGGTCAGCTGACCATTATGGAAGGTGGGAGGGGCAGGACTTGGTTTGTGACCTTTCTGGAGGCAGGGGAGAGGCACCATGCATAGGGCAGCACAGTAATAAGTCCCTTCCTCTTTCAAGGCAGTTTAAAGAATCTAAAGGGAGAATTGGCTTCTATGAATAAAGTTGCTCTGGAGACCAGGGTCATAGAAGTCTCCTAGTTGGTATATAAAGTTCAGGGAGCCATCTTGGTTCCTCTCATACCAGTATATGGTATGGTTGTTCATTTACTGTCCTGTCATTTGGCACTGCAAAATTTTGATTCCTCTAAAAGGAACAAATATCTCTTATTTCTCCAACAGGCATCTGACTGATTCCTGGAAGACAAAATTAAGGTAAAAGGAAGATAGAAGAATTGAGGAGCCATATCGGTGTATCAAGAAACTGAAGTATCAGTGTGGAATTACAGAGCCACCTTCTATTTCAGTCTTTCCACCAACTCTCCCAGAGTAATTCTCTCAGGGGAGTCATTTATTTGTTCACCCAGCGATTGGGCAAACATCTCCTGGCTTCTATGGTGTGTTCAGGGCTGGGCTGGGATCTGTGGGGGTGACAAGATATCAGGCTCTCTGGAGCTCACCTGGCCCAGGAGCTGCAGGGCCTGCTCTTCTGACGCTCTAAGGCTGCTCCTACCTGTACAGTCAGGAGGTAGGAGTGAGCAGACCCACTGCATGGCTCCCGCCCAGTACTGAACGGGCTCTGCTTCTGGGACAGGCTCCTGGCCCTTCCTCATCTCAGCCTTCAGTGTCTCAGGCACTTGCCTGTGGGCTTGCCAGCTGATGATGAGGAAAGAAAATGAGCTTGAATCAGCAGATGTTCTACCCCAAGAGAATAGCTTCACCTATTATACAGATGGTATGGGGCCTTTTACTTTCTGTTGCACATGGCAGCATCTCCCTTCTAGATTGAGTCCAAATTTTTAGCAAGGGAATTGTTGATATTTAGCTTCAGACAGCTTTTAATGGTTCTTTACCCTGTTTTTGGAAGTTCTTTTTGTTATTCGTTGCAATAGATTCATTCTGGATCTTTTATTTTTGTAACAAGAGAGCTGCTTCTTGGGAAGGGAGGTAGACTTTGCCAAAATACCACTCTTCCACAGAACAAGAGCCCATAACTGTCACACAGAATTTAACAGAAAATATTGCATTGATGTAATTCTGAGTAACAGTTAAGTGCCTACTATTATACTCTGCCTGTATTAAGCACCCCATAAATGTTCATGCTGGACTGAAGAAAACACAGCTCAAAATAAACACAATTGGAAGACAAAGGAAGTGGAATGGGCAATGCTAATTAGATGAGAAAAAGCAAAGTTAAAGCATGGAAAAAGTTTAATAGCATATTATAGAATTATCTACTGAAAGAACAAAGTAGAACAAACTAAAAATAAAAAGGAACTATATCAGCTTAGATCAGAGGAATGTGCAGGCAGAGAAAAGCTGGAGAGGTAATTAGGATAATTATCTCCATGGAGTGGTTCTCAAGCTTGGCCACATATTGGGATCACCTGGGGAGTTTTAAAAATTACTGAAGCCTGCATGCTACCCCAAGAGAGTCTGATTTAGTCTGGGGTGGGGTCTGGGCATCAGAATTTTAAAAAAGCTCCCTAGGTAATTCTGATATGCAGGTGAGTTGATGACCACTGGGTAAGAGATCACGTAGTGCACAAGGCTTATGACAGTATTGTCCTCAGCAGACAAGACAAAGCCTGTGGCCAGGTGTCACCTGTGACTGGGTGAGTCTACCAACCTTCTGCACCTTATCCTTTCTCTAAGACCAGCATGGACCCTCAGTGGCTCTCCTCCCTGGTGACTGCTCACACTGGTCTTTTACAAACCAGAGGATATGAGAGCCTGCTTTGGTCAGCATGAGCCATCTTGCTCCCCTGAGCTCCTGCAAGTGCTGGGCACTTACTGAGTGCTTGGTAAATATTTGCTTGGTGTTATGGTCCTTGTCCTCTGGGTCCTTCTGTACTGATTGAAATGGGCTAAGTCTGTGGTTCTTGGTTCCTCCTCAATCCTACACTGACTTTCAAGATCCAGCCAGGGGGTCTGCTAGCTGTGATTCATTACACTGGACAACACATCACTGTTTGTGTGTGAGATAACTGTAGCCTGCATCACACCAGACCCACAGAATAATGAATTCTTGCTGAATTTCAACTTTGTGTTTTCTCCTTTTTTCTCTTTCTTCTTTCCTTCCTCCATTCCTTCCTTCCTCCATTCCTTCCTTCCTCCATTCCTTCCTTCCTCCATTCCTTCCTTCCTCCATTCCTTCCTTCCTTCCTTCCTTCCTTCCTTCCTTCCTTCCTTCCTTCCTTCCTTCCTTCCTATTTTTCTTGTAATTCCAAGGCTAACAGAAGACCACAGTCATCCAAAAAGGAATGAGAATGACTTTCCATTGAGAGTGAAAATATGGGAGTGTGCTGAAGTGGCCACCTGTATTTAGAGGGATGAATACCATTCACTCTCCTGGAACTGCTGATTTCACAGTGAAGATTTGCTGCCACACAAACACAGAGAGAGCTCTGGGTAGAGTGTAAAGTTATTGCTGTCCATTGGAAATACTTTTTGATTTCCCCATTTGCTGGAATAACTGTGCAGGCCTCAGCAAGAACATGGAGAGGCCAGAACAGAAGTTTTCATGATGAGAAGAGACTAATCTTATGCCTTTGTTTTCTATCTAATCTTATGCATAGAAGTCTATTTATAAAAAAGCAAAAATAAAATAATGATAATTTTGTGCTTCCATCCAACAATATGCCAATAAAGAGGGAGAAGCTGGAAAAATTTGAGATCTGTTACTAATTTAAAAGGAACTGAATAGAAGCCCCTCCTCCTTTGTACTACTTTTCTGCATATGAAAAAAAGCACATGCTGTTTTCCTCCTCTGAAATGGAGGAAAGTATTGTGCTCAAGGTTCTTGGTTGGGAGTAGGGCTAAGGAAAAGGTCAGAGACAAGGAGAAGACAAAGGGTTCTTTTTTTCCTTTTTGGTGACAAGAACTTAGGAAAAAGTAGAATATAGATGCTTCAGTGCTTATATGGAGCTCAAATTCTCTATCTCTGGAACTATACAGCTGTGGAATTAATCTTATATAAATGTCCAAGCTGGCATTTGTTCCCCAGACAGAGGATGGTGACATGACACTGGAGGGCAATTCTCTGCCTTGTCTCCCACAGCAGAGTAAATAAGGGCCTCTATCCTTCAATTAAAGGGAGAGGAGAGAGCTGGAGGAGGCCTCCCCACTCTACCTCAAGTAGAAGAGAGGGAGGTGACCTGATTTTCTGGGTTGGGTCCATGCTGCCAGGGGAGGGGAACTGCTAAGACAGAGAGGCCTCCTTCTTTCCCTGGGAGAGGGGTGTGGTGGGCCCAGCTGCTGGGCCATCTGGCCCTCCATGCCAGGGGCACTTGTAGCCACTGACAAAAACCTGCATCATCTGTGCTCCATTTGGTTGGCCTTCCTGTCCAGACATAGTTGTTCTTGGGCTCTGAGCTAACACACCTAGTACTGTCACTTAGTTTTACCATAGGTTGGGAGGAGAAAGGAATGAGGCTGAAAGAATGTCAAAACTTCAAAACATGGGGCCAGCTCTAAAGATACAGAACTAAGACCCACTCTAGGGTGCTTTGGGGAAGGCAGCTGTGTAAATAAAAATAAAAATAAAAATAAAAATAAAAAAGAGGTCATGAGGTAGCATTGGGGCTAGAAGAAGAGAATTCCTAAACGAATTAAGTGGTAAATTTAGTATTTGAGCAGATGTTATTCCTATAGCAGCTTGGGTCACCATAACCCAGTGCCCTCGTCACACACTCTGCATCTGCTGCTCCCCTCCTACCTCCTGTGCACCTCTGACTTTCTGGGGCTTGTGGTACAGTTTTGTTGGAAAGTGTAGATGGGTATAGGGGCAAGGACTGGGGTAAACACAGGATTGGTGCAAAAGTAGGTTTGCAGTTGTAAGTACATGGAACACAGAGTTTATTCTTATATTATTGTTTATTAATTATTTTATTATTTCCCATATGAAAGTCTGTAAACTTACTTTTGCCCCACCCTGTACTATACCTATCATATTCACCACAGCTGGAGACACAGGAGTTAAGAATGGTTGTTTTATGATCTCCACTGCACTGTTGTGTTAGAGCATAGTTTAGAATGTGAGTGCTGTCCTGCACATTGTGATCTGAAAAGTTAAAGGGCTGTAAACACTGAGCTGTGTGATGAACACTTAGTATGAGTGAACAAACAGATTATTGAATAGAAATACAAGCTATTCAGCTGGCAGGGCTTTAATTGTCAAGTAGTCTTAGAGTTTGCTCATGTGCATGACTGAGTACTGACTGTAAGCATTTGGGAAGTTACTGAGCAGGGCAAAGGAAATACTATGTACAGCAAGTGTGTCCTGCAGGATGAACAACCTCGGCATCTATCAAATGGAAATACATGGTGAGTGACATCATGATACATGACAAAGGACACAGCATCAATCTAAGATGAGAGCAGAGTCCAGGCCATGGTGAGAAACCAGGGATGTTGGATAACAGAAGCTGCCTAGGGAATGGCACATGCCAAAAAGACGGATGAGTAGAGCACATGGAAAGAGAATTTTTGCAAGACTCAGCTGACAATGATCTCTCTCTGTCAGAGTACCTTCTCTTAAAAAGTGTCAGCTCAAGTCCCAGAATGGTGACCCAGAGGCTGACCCGTGAGTCAGAGCTGCAGCCTGCTAGGAGGGGAGCTGTTGCCTCCATTTACCATCTGCTGTGTTTGTATTGACATACAATGTGTCAACAGACCAAATGCCCAGCAGAATTCCTGAAGTTACCATTGGCCCAGAGGGTCCCTTGTTAATAAATATTGTGGCACAAACTATGTGTTTATCCAGGGAAGTGTGATAGGGAAGGGGTACTAGCAGAAAAAGAAGACGTAGTTTAAAATGCTATGGCAGTTGGAAATGTTTATTTTTGGGGAAGAGATGTGATCCAACAATGCCCCCCCGCTTTTTATAGATTAAACCCTATATGGAGGCCAAGGACAATCTTTTTTTAGGTCATCCAAGATGAGAGAAAACTGCCTCTGTGTACACACACAAAGCAGCTGTACCACAGAGACTGTCCACATTAGAATCAGGGCCTCCTTGTGGTCGTGGGGGACCCCATTCACTTAGCAGATCATCAAGTCCAAAGAGGCTCTCAGCTTTCCTCTGCAGGGGTATCCAACCCGCAGCCTAGGATGGCTATGAATGTGGCCCGACACAAAATTGTAAAATTACTTAAAATCTTTTTTTTTTGCTCACCAGTTTTCACTAGTGTTTGTGTATTTACTGTGTGGCCCAAGACAGCTCTTCGTTCAGTGTGGCCCAGAGACGCCAAAAGGTTGGACACCTCTGTGAGATGATACTTAGGTTCCACCTGTCCTCCTTTCTTCTAGCGGTGTGCGTACCCTAGCTCATTCTGACCGGTAGAAGAGGCCTTGGGAATGGCTTGGGGAAAAACAGGATCAAAATTCAGATGAAGACCAGAGATGCAGTTATTAGAGCTGCTGGGAAAACATCTTTCTGCTATCCAGGCAGTCCTCCTCTTCTGACCTCCTCTTTGGTCCTGAGGCCAAATTGAGGAATCGGTATTATGTACTTGAGTTGTTGCTCTGGGGTTGGGTGGGAGGCTTTTGGGCAAGACCTTGTCTTTTTTTAAAAAATCTTTTCATTTTAAAATAGAGGGTAGGTCCAAGTGGGACTACTGTGAAGAGTAAGCTACCCATGGCTGTAATGTACCAGCAATGCCAGATGGGGTGTGGGAATGCAGGCAATTTGTAAAACCTTTGTAGCAGCTTCTGTGATCACAAGGGATGATATTGGCTTGATGTAGTATTTTTAAACTTAAGTATTCACCTCATGCCAATGCACGTAGCTATGTTCTCTCATCTGAGGTCATTCATTTGGAAATGCAGAAGGCTGCAGCATTATTTCTTTAAATAAAATATTCCCTTTCATTACATTTGTGTCTTAGGGATCCCTAAAGCAGGAATTTAGTTCAAACATTAAATTCAATAGTCATATATGAAACACTTACTATGCAACACACTGTGGAAATGGAAGATGAAATAGATCAAGGATCCCTGCCCTGAAAGGGTTTATAAATTAGGAGGAGCACAAAGGAAGTATCTGCAGTCATGGAAAAAGATAGAACACCTGAAATGACTCAAGAGAGGTAAGTGTTCAGGTGCTTCACCTGGGGAGAGGTTCTATCTTCAGAGGAGAGTTTTCACTGGACATATACATTGGGAAATCATGCACACACATGTGGAATTTAATGCCATGAGCATGAGAGAAACCAGCTAGGGAGAGATCCAGAAGGAAAGGGGGACCCAGGTGAGGGCTCTGAGGGCTCTACAGTTAGAAGCCAACAGGAAGAGCCAGTGAAGGAGATTGAGAAGGAGAGGCCACTGGTATAGAGGAAAAGCAGCATGGTGTGGCTTCTCAGAAGCTAAGCTTAGAAAGCATTTTAAGAAGGAATGGGTGTCCACTGCTGAGAGGTTATATGATCATTACCTGTTTATTCCTGTGCTTGCTTTATGTCTGTCTTCTCTTATCTTAAACTGGTAAATCCATGAGGGCAGGGTCAATGTTTATTTTGCTCACATTACGTACTCAGTGCTTGGCACAGTACTTGGCACAAAGTAGGGTTCAAGATATCGTTGTTGCACAAGAAATAAAAGCCAGCCTGAGGTCTTTACACTTAGTTTAATAGGCAAAGAGTAATATCAGAATTAGCATTTTCAGATACCTGACATAGAATTTGATTGCAGCAAAAAAAGCAAGCCTCATTCTGGAGGCATGTGCAGACCTGTTGGCCTCCTGCAAACCTCCTGTCAACATTGTTAGGTGTTCTTCAGTCCGGATGCACAGCGATGAGGAAACAGTAAGACTCCACTTACGTGATTCTCTCATAATCCTTTAGGCCCTAAAGTTTAGGGTACTGTTCGCTACTGAAATCTTATGTGAATGGTTGTACCACTATAGAAATAGTTCTCTGATGCCAATCCTGGGTTAAGTAGATATCTTTACAACAGGCATTCTCAGAGCATGTAATATGATAGTAAAGAATTATTAATATTAACAGAGGGATATTAATACAGTGCATTTGGCAACCCTATTTGACCATGGAATCCTTTTCAATTGCTTAATGACTATGTTAACATATTGAGGTACCATGACATTCTGGAGAGCAATTTGGCAAATTAGCTTCCTCATAAGAAGAGACTGTGTCCAGTTTAGGTTCATTATTTTTCATCAGTTTTCAGTTTGTTGGTTGGCCTATCTATCTATGTACCATCTGTCTATCTATCTACCTGAGCTAACAATATCATACCCAAAGGGGTGTGTGTGTGTGACAGTTGAGGCTGCTCACCTTTCTTCTTGGGTCACCTAAAGAAGTCTCCAGGCATGTGTTACCTCAGGGGAGCAAGTGCTTTCTCTGTTATGAGCTCATGTACCTCCTCTGAGGAGCTTTCCCCAGCTCTAGGCCATCCCTTCCCTCTCTGTGTTCTCACAGCTGTTGCTCTTTCCTCTGTTAACAAGGCTCTATTTTCATGTCTGTTTTGCCTGTTAGAAAGAACACCTTGAGGACAGGAATTGAGCTTTGATTGTTTGTAACTCAGCATGTGGCACAACCCCAGGAATATTGAATATACTCAGCACATATTTGAGGGATGAGGATATGCATCCCCATAATTATAGACTTGTATATTTTAATAATATAGC